ACACAGGCCATTTATGGGTAGATGGATCCATACTCTTACATTGGAAGACAATTTAACCTTGGGGACTATTTTAATGGAAAACCCTAGGAAGAGGCTAGGATTACCAAGGCAGACGTTTCTAAGCTCTGGCTTTTTCACTTGTACAACTGATTCTGTCGTTTCATGACACCTAATTGTGTCCAATTTGTGAGTTATTACATTCTGTGCATTTGTCGGCAAGTGTTGGTAGAATCTTGAGTGCTAGTCCTATTGAAAGTGCCAGAGAGCTAGACATAAAGCCTGCCACAAACATGACTCAGAGGTGGCTGTTCAAGAAACTTTGATTTATAGCAACACAGAACCGGCAGAAGTGGAAGATCTTATTGCCTCCAGGGACCCAGCAGGTGTTGTACATGAGTGAAACACCACAGAGATTGGGCAGTACAGGAGGTCAGGGGAGTCTGGAGGGGGATGTACAGGCCTTATCCAAAGGAGCAGTGCCATTCTTGACTCCAGCCGACGGCTGTCACGGTTGAATGCCAGACCAACATCTTCAGTGCTCTAAGTTTTTCAAGGCAGTTTGTGGATCTGGAGTTTTAGGTTTCTTAATTGATACAGCTGCTATAACAAAAATATCACAGACTGGGTTGCCTAAACAACAAATTGTTAGTTCTCATAGTTCTGCAGGCTGGAAATTCCAAGAGCAAGGAGCTGGCATATTCAGGGTCTGGTGAGAACCCTCTTCCTGGGTCATGTTTCTACTGTGACATCATATGGCAGAAGGGACAAAAGAGCTCTTTGGGGTCTCTTTTAAGGGGGCACTAATCCCATTCTGTAAGAGCGGGGCCCTCATGACCTAATCATTTCCCAAAGGTCCCCATCTCCAAATATCATCCCATTGGAGAGTTCCCTGGCTGATTAAGTCAGTGACCTTAGGCATGTCAGGGGAATGCCAATGGTACCATTTAAAGAGCTGTATCTCTAGCTGCATCAGGCTGTAATTAATGTCATCCTACTGGTGTGCCTTCAGCAAGAATTACATGCATTTGATTAAATAAAAGTGTATATGAATTTATATCAAGGAGTGATGAAAGGTGGTGGAAACAGTGTCAGGCGTTGTTAGGAAAAGACTGATTCATATTCCATTTTTGCTGCTTGATAGTGTTAATAATAGTTAGGGAAATTACTGACTCTCTCTAGTATGAGCTGCTATGTATTTAAAATAGGGATAGTAATACCTACCATCTGTGGTTATTGTGGGCTTTCCTGGTGGCTCAGATGGTAAGGAATCTGCCTGCAATGAAGGAGACCTGGGTTCGATCCCTGTGTGGGGAAGATCCCGTGGAGAAGGGCATAGGTACCCTAACAGTATTCTTGCCTGGAGAATTCCAGGAACAGAGGAGCCCGGCAGGCTATAGTCCATAGGGTTGCAAAGAGTGGGGACATAACTGAGCAACTAAAACATACACCTATGGTTATCATAAAAGTTAAATGAGATACTGCCTATAACCATACATCATAGCAGCGTGGCCTATCGAAATGGTCTGAACAGCTACCTCCATGCTGTTTTTGCTTAGCCCAGGGTATTGGCTATGACTCTGTCCCCAGCCTGGGGCTTCCCAGATGGCTCAGATGGTAAAGAATCCACCTGCAATGCAGGAGACCTGGGTTCCATCCCTGGGTGGGGAAGATCCCATAGAGAAGAGCGTGGCTACCCACTCCAGTATTCTTACCTGGAGAATTCCATGGACAGAGGAACCTGGCAGGCTACAGTCCATGGGGTCACAAACAGTTGAACATGATTTCCAAGTCAGGAAAGGAGTACGTCAAGGCTGTATATTGTCACCCTGCTTATTTAACTTATATTCAGAGTACATCATGGGAAATGCCAGGCTGGATGAAGCACAAGCTGGAATCAAGATTGCTGGGAGAAATATCAATAACCTCAGATACGCAGATGACACCACCCTTATGGCAGAAAGTGAAGAAGAACTAGAGCCTCTTGATGAAAGTGAAAGAGGAGAGTGAAAAGTTGGCTTAAAGCTCAACATTCAGAAAACTAAGATCATGGCTTCTGGTCCCATCACTTTATGGCAAATAGATGGGGGGAAACAGTGGAAACACTGAGAGACTTTATTTTTTTGGTCTCCAAAATGAGTGCAGATGGTGACTGCAGCCATGAAATTAAAAGACGCTTGCTCCTTGGAAGAAAAGCTATGACCATCCCAGATAGCATATTAAAAAGCAGAGACATTACTAACAAAGGTCCATCTAGTCAAAGCTATGGTTTTTCCAGTAGTTGTGTATGGATGTGAAAATTGAACTATAAAGAAAGCTGAGCACCGAAGAATTAGTGCTTTTGAACTGTGGTGTTGTAGGAGACTCTTGAGAGTCCCTTGGACTGCAAGGAGATCCAACCAGTCCATCCTAAAGGAGATCAGTCCTGAATATTCATTGGAAGGACTGATGTTGAAGCTGAAACTCCAATACTTTGGCCACCTGATGCGAAGAACCACCTCATTTGAAAAGACCCTGATGCTGGGAAAGATTGAAGGCAGGAGGAGAAGGGGATGACAGAGAATGAGATGGTTGGATGGCATCACCGACATGATGGACATGAGTTTGAGTAAGCTCCAGGAGTTGGTGATGGATAGGGAAGCCTGGCATGCTGCAGCCCATGGAGTTGCAAAGAGTCGGACATGACTGAACGACTGAACTGAACAATATTTTCACTTTTCACTTTCACTGCCCCCAGCCCAGTGATTAGTAATATTAGCATTTCAGATAATAATTTTGACTTTCTGTCAATCAGTAGACTGAATATTTGTACCAATGCTGCTCTTCTAGTACTTCTGAAGATTTGTCCTCTCCAGCCGTTCACTCCATCTCCTTTGTCTGTCTCCCCACATTCACAGGATGGCTAATTAAGAGGAAGAAGTGGCCCTTCTGAGTCTTGAAAATGAGCAAATTTAAGAGGTCTATCTACGTGGAGTCACTCTTGTCTTGGGCTCACTATCTTTGTTCTGCATTTGCTCTTTGAACTCAAAGACTGCCAATCTGTTCCCATAGCTTCAAAGAGGCATGCTTGCAAGATTTTACTGTGTGCTATTTTCTTGAGAAAGTCGTGATTTTAAAAATTTAAATTGGTTTGTCTATAATTTATCAGGTGGTGCATGGTCTGTGTTCACCAAACAATACATGCTTGGTCATACTTGACATAATGTTTCATATAATAATATTACTTAAAAAATTTCTTCTGTTGATCATAATAAAATTCTACCCAAAATTGGTGATTGGCTCAATCCAATGGAAAAATCACCTGTTAAAACTCATTTATTTAGTCGCATAAAGAATTCATGCTTAACTCTAATTCAGAAGTTTACTGGACCTGCAGCTGATCTCACAGTTCTTATGAGACCAAACCCAGGACTAGCTTAGCTGGGTGCATGGCTCAGGGTCTCCCAAGGCTGCAGAGTGTCAGCCCGACTGTGTTCTCTACTGGAGGCTCAACAAGGGGAAAATCTGCTTCCAAGCTCACTTGGCATGGTGGCAGAATTCATTTCCTTTCTGTTGTAGGACAAAGAGCTTTAGCTTTTTGCTGTCACTTTAGCTTTTGGGGGCTGTCCTCAGATGCCATAGGCTGTCTGTGGTTCCCTGCCACATGGCCCTCCCCGTGGCAGCATGTAACATGGCAGCTTCCTTTTTTAAGGCCCATGAAAGAGCAAGAGCGAGTCAGCTAGCCAAGAGTGAGGCTTCTTTAAAAAAAAAAAAACTATTAGATATAACATGTATTTTTAAAAATATTTATTGATTTCTTTATGACTCTGCTGGGTCTTCGTTGCTGCATGGGCTTCTCTCTAGTCGTGGCGGGTGGGGGCTACTCTCTATCTGCGTTGCAGTGACCTTTGTTGCAGAGCATGGGCTCTACGGCTCAAGGGCTTCAATAGTTGTGGCTCATGGGCTTAGTGGTTCTATGGCATGTGGAACCTTCCCAGACCATTGATTGAGCCTGCATCTTCTGCATTGGCAGGAGGATTCTTGACTACTGAGCCATCAGGGAAGACCAGGTCTGAGTCTCACTCAGCATGAACTGATCACCCCTGTCCCATCACATGTGCCATATTCTGGTGAGAAGGGAATCGTAGGTCCTGCCAAAATGCAAGGGAAGGGATTACACAAAGAACAGAGCAGCAGGAGGTGAGACCATCGGTATGGCTTAGAAGGTCCCCAAGGAGATGTGTGTGTGCCTTGCTCGCCACCGAATCTTTGGTGTCCAGAATAATGCCTAACATATATTAGATACTCCATAAGTGTCAGTATTTGCATTAATGAATCAATGTTGCAGATATTATTTCTTTGAATTGTGCATTGCTAATTTCCTCCCCCACCCAAGTCTATGGTTTACCTTTTGGTTGTATTTGTTACATGTTTTGATGTATATAAATGTTGACAAAGCAACAAAAGTTTCCCTTAATTTGTTGATATCACTTTACATCTCAGGGAGTCCTTTTCCCACCCAAAGATCAGATAAATGTTTGCCTGTATTTTCAAGATTTTAAATTACTTTTTTTCCCATGTTATTCTGATCTATCTAGAAAGTCAAAAATTAAATGGAGAGTTATAACAGGATGTAGTAAATAACCCTTTTTTCCCATCCATCCCTCTTTGCTACCTTATTTAGTTTTATTGAATTATTATGAACTAGTTTCTGGGCTTTCTATTATGTTTCATTATTTTTCATTCTCATTTCAGTTTTTTCCATCTAAGAATTATAGCATTCTTGGTCAGAAATGCCAAAGCAGTTACTGTCAGAATCATTCAGTATAATAATTAAGACATAGCTTAAGCTGTTGAAGGACTCCAGCATAGAGAGCCGGCATGGTAACCCACTCAGTATTCTCGCCTGGAGAATCCCATGGACAGAGGAACCTGGCGGGCTACAGTCCATAGGGTAGCAGAGAGTCAACACAACGGAAGCCACTTAGCACAGCACAGCACAAATACAGCTGAAGCATATTTACCTTGGCATAATAGTGAGTAGGTGAAACCCAGAGTGGGAGAGGCACCTCTTCCCCACAGAGTCATTTGAGAACCCAGGCTCATCCTGTCCTGAAGCTCTGCCAGCCCCTAGGGCAATGTCCAGGCATGTATGGTTGGAGCTGTCTCATCTCCTCATCCATGTTCAAGTCTGTGGAAAAGAAGTGGTGCGTGTCTTGAGACATCCTTTGCCTTTGAGCTGAGCAACCAGAAGTGGCATATATTATTTTGCTCACATCCCTTTAGTCTAACTAAACCACATTGCCACATCTACCTTCAAGGTATGGAAAATAGTTTAAACAGCTATCCTAGATTTGACTTGAAAGTTAAGAGGATCTGTTATTAAAAAGAAGATGAGGGATGGGTTCCAAGAACAACTAATGGTCTTTGCTGCAGTCCAGTTTTCATAGTCACAAATACTCATATTTAAGAGCAAGGTAATAATCATTTTCAGCAAGTGAAAAACTATCTTTGGATATTGCAATGAAATGCAGATATGTCCTGATTTTTTATTTTAGATGGCCAGTAACCCATGTGCCAGGTAGCACTCTATGCCAATCTTGAATGCCAACAGGGAAGTCATTGGACGGCAAAACTTTTCAAGATCATAACTGGGCTGTTGGAGTAACTTGGAAAAGAAGAAAAAGGAATTGAAAGCATGGCAAAAGTCAATAGAGCTCGGTCTACCTCCCCTCCTGATGGAGGCTGGGGCTGGATGATCGTGGCTGGCTGTTTCCTCGTTACCATCTGCACCCGAGCAGTGACCAGGTAGGTGGGACTTTCTTCTTCTTCTTCTTATGATCTGGCTTGTCTTTTTTCCTAACTAAGCTTCATTCTATCTCTGAACCTGTCATTGTGAAAATAAATGTGTATATGTGTGTTATGTGTGTGTGTGTTTCCTTTGACTGCTCAGATACCTTCTTCTTTGCAAGGAATGTCATTTTCTGACACTTAGAAGTCCTGGATAGTGATCTCTTTTTATAATATCTGACCTATAAACCTGGGGTTTTAGGACATTTTTGACTAAATATCATGGCTACTGCCAGACATTTATTTTCATAAGCAGTTCATCCCACAAAGGATAAATATATAAGCTCAAAATAGCCACGAGAACCTCTCAGTTCACCAGGATACAGAGCCATGGGAAGCTTAAAGCCTAAAATTGAAATTCTTTTGCTTCATTTTGCACTTGGCTGTGGTAGTGGAGGCTGAACTCTAGGTTGAAGGAGAGAAACAGCACAAATGCAGGAATTCTTTCATCGCTTTTGGTCATGGGTCCTCTTTTTCTTATACTCAAGGACATAGTGTTGAATATACTTGCATTAAATGCCCATACATTGAGATGCATTCATCTCATTTACATTTGGATAAATATACACTTGAAATCTGCATGTGCCAGCTCTTTCCTCTAGAGGTGCCTTTGTTCAGACTGAACTCTCTTCTCTGGCAACTCTCCCTAGGCTGCTCTACATAACTTTACCTGATGGCATCATCCATAAAAGCATCGACGTGTTCCCCATAACAAACAGATAATGCAGGAAAGAAGCAGTGTTTCTTTCTGCTACAATAAGATTTTGTTATGTGTCATCATAAACTGTAGATTTATTTAAAATAATGTGATGGTTGAGTCTGATTTTTCTACCATCTATTTTATGGATCCTGTGTTCTGGGAGTGAGGAGGTCATAGAGTTAAAAGGAATCTTTCATCTTGGTTCTTCCATGTGGAAGCTTTCATCATTCATTTGAGCATTTCATCAATAGTTTATCTATTTTATATATAATTTGATGAGAGGAAAGTTCTGGAAGTGAGCTTGGTGCTTTAGGGCGGCTGGAAATTAAAAAAGAGGCTTGTGGCTGGCAGCACAGACTTGTCTTCAGAGGTTCCTGGGAGAGGCTGAGAGTAGGGTCCTTGAGCAGAATAAGCTTGGAGGAGAAAAGTATGATGCACCAGGAAGCAGCCAAGAGAACAAAAGACAGAGGCAAGGAGAACAGCCTACACGGGGGTTTGTCAGTTCAGAGGATCAGTGCCTATTGGGCAGTTAATTCATTTTTCCACTTTTTTCAAGTTTTATTAAGAAATAATCAACCATAGTCACGATATAAGTTCAAGGCATACATATTGATGATATTTTATTGAAGTATGTTTGATTTACAGTGTTGTGTTAGTTTCTGGTGTACAGCAAAGTGAAAGTGTTAGTCACTCGGTTGTGTTCGATTTTGTGACCCCATGGACTGTAGCCCGCCAGTCTCCTCTGTCCATGGAATTCTCCCGGCAAGAATACTGGAGTCGGTCACCATTTCCTTCTCCAGGGGAATCTTCCCCACCCAGGGATCGAACCTGTGTTGCAGGCAGACTCTTTACCAACTGAGCCACCAGGGAAGCCTATTCTTTTCCATTATGGTTTATTGCAAGATATTGAATGTAGTTCCCTGTGCTATACAGTTGGACCTTATTGTTTATCTATTTTATATATAGTAGTTTATAAGCATGATGATTTGATTTACATATATTATAGGTTCAGCTAACATCCATCTTCTCATATAACTACACTGAAAAGGAAAGAAAGAAGAAAAGAGAAAAAACATTTCTCCTCCTGAAGAGAACACTTAGAATGTATTCTTTTAACATCTTTCCTGTATATCATACGATAGTGTCAGCTGTAGTCATCATATTGTACGTGACATCCCTACTACTTATTTATCTCATAACTGGAAGTTTGTATTTTTGACCACCTTCCACCAGTCCCCTTTCCCCCACACTCTGTCTCTGGTAACCTCAAGTCTGATCTCTTTTTATATGAGTTTGGTTATTGTTTTAGATTCCATATATGAGTAAGATCATACAGTATTTGTCTTTCTCTGTTTAACTTATTTCACTTAGCAGAATACCTTCAAAGCCCTTTCATATTGTTGCAAAGTGATAGGATTTCTTTGTGTTTTTTTCCTGGCTGAATAATATTCCATTGTATATACACACCACACCCTCTTTATCCATTTACCCATCTGTGTCTTGGCGATTATAAATCACGCTGCTGTGAGCATGGGGACACAGATATCTTTTCTCATTAGGGCTCTCATTTTCTTTGGATCTATTCCCAGCAGTGGGATTGTTGGATCCCATACTGTTTTCTATGGTGGCTGTACCAATTTACAGTCCCTTCAACAATGCACAAGGGTTACCTCACTGAAAAATAGGTACTTAAGATTTCATATAGATGAATCCATAATGTATTTAAAGTGTTCTTATTGATGGACATTTATATTTTCTCCTGGCTTTTGCTTTACAAATAATGCTACCATTATAACCTACCATTAAATCTACCATTTAAAAATCATATTTCACTCTTGCCTTTTAACTGGTGATGCTTTTTTACACATAAAATTTATAAAAAGCTTAAGGTTGTGCAGGCTTTCTTATTATTTGTTCCCTGTGGTTGTTAATGTGCATTGATTACCTGTTTTTGCTTCAAGATGTCTTATTACCAAACACATTATCTATAGTAATAAACTCATTTCATTGTGGAATTACATGACATTCTATTAGTAACTTGAAAGATTGAATTGGAGTTGATACTTGAAAAGCAATGTTTGTTTAATGGAAACCCCTAGCTCTGAGACCTATTTTTCTCAAATTCTTCTGGGGCTAAATTAACTTAATTGCAATAGATGTCTAGAGTCCTGTGAAACTGTGAAGTTCTTATAGCAACAGCTCAATTCCTGTAAATAATTGCTCATGTTACCTGAGCACTTATTCTGTGTTTGTTGGCATTATTCCAAACAAATTTTCATTGATTAAGTCATTTAATCCTTATAATAATACACAGAGGTTGAATAATGTGTCCAAATCACATGGTGAGTAAGTGACAGTGCTTTTAACCACTAGACTGCACTGCCCAGTGGATTACTTACTGTGCTGACTTAGTGGATAACTTCATCAACCAGGAATAAAAAGTCTTGACCAAATATCAGATGTTGTCAGCTTCCAGTTCTCCAGGAGCCAGAGAAGAATTTTATAGCACAGTGACAAGATAGAGGCAGCGAATATGTTGACCCCTTGAGAGAAAGTATCTTTGAGAATGATATAGCAAACACCGCTTGGATGATATCATGAACAAAACCTACTAACCCCTGAAGGCTGTTCAGGGTTGTTAGCTATTACAGCACAATTTAATCCAGTCTGACTGTTATAGTCTTGCTTCTCCAAATGCTTAATTTATAGATGAGGAAATCAAGACCCTGAGAGATTTAGAAGCTTTTTGGAACTCTCAGTTATTCAGCATGGGAATCAGAGATCAGAAACCAGTTCTGCTGACATCTATCAGATGCCCAAATATTCCAAGGGACAGCAAAAATAATTTGGGGTGAGAAGCACCTGTGCTGCCAATAAAATTTGTTTTCTTTAAGGTCATGCCTGTGTTTGCTTGTGTGTGTGCTCAGTCTTGTCTGACTCTTTGTGACCTCATGGGCTGTAGCCCTCCAGGCTCCTCTGTCCATGGGATTTTCTGGGCAAGAATACTGGAGTGGGTTGCCATTTCTGCCTCCAGGGGATCTTCCCCACCCAGGGATTGAACCTGCATCTCCTGAGTCTTCTGCATTGACAGGCAGATTCTTTACCTTTGAGCCACCAGGGAAGCCCCTTTCATGGAGACTTCCTGATCCTCAAGTCACCACTCCCAATGGAGCAAAAATGAGATTAATTCCTCAACTGAATATCCATTGAGCTTTAGGCTTATTTATATATTTTATATTTCTGCAATATGTGCTTTCATTATTGTGCATCACCCCTCTTGGTGGCCTCTCAATTCTTAAGAGGCAAACACCTCTGGCATCAAAACTTGGGTGAAGCCTGTCAAAAGCCAATGTGCATGCCTATGATTCTTAGCTTCTGGAAAAATCTGAGCCTAAGTATCTTTATTCTTGTCTGCTATTCTTCCTCATTCAAAAAATATTTATAGAGAGAATTCCCTGGTGCTCTAGTGGTTAAGACTCCTAGTTTTCACTGTTTGTGTTTAGAAGGCATAAATCATAAAACTTTACCATCTAAAAAGTTCCATGGTCCTTTCCTTTTGGAGAACAAAGGAAAGGACAACAATAATCCCTCTCATATTTCATAAAAGTCACAGTCATTTGGAAGCCTGTGTATGTAGTTATTAAATTTTACCTCTGATAAGCCTACTCACATGTTTAGACAAGAATCTCAAGTGTTACTTTTGAATTTTGCATGCCAACAGTTTGATATGACTAATCATATCAGTTGGAAAAAAAGCATCAAACAGAAAACAAAATGACAATAGAACAAGATTTAAAAAAATTACAAGAGACAAACATAGCCCCACAGATACTAAATTTCCCAAAAATATTTAGTGGAGAGAAGACACTTCCACAAGTGCTGATCTTCATCTATCCTCTGCACATCAAACTCTACCCCAGCACCTTTGGGACTTAGAATTTAGCATCCTATCCCATCCCTCTTCTCTTTCCTATAGGCAGGACTGGCAACATAATTGCAGGACCCAGTGCTAGAGGAAAATGCAAGACCTCTTGTCCAAAAGGGAGGAAAGAAAGGGCTGGTAAATATACTAAAAGGGCTTCCCAGGTGGCTCAATGGGAATCTGCCTGCCAGTGCAAGAGACTTGGGTTTTTGTTCCCTGGGTTGGGAAGATCTCCTGGAGTAGGAAGTGGCAACCCACTCCAGTATTCTTGCCTGGGAAATCTCTTGGATGAGGAGCCTGGTGAGTTTCAGTCCATGGGGTTGCAAAGAGTCAGACATGACTTAGTGACTGAGCACAGACTTATGCACACAAAAATGTACTAAAATAGGAAGCTTTTCCTTTTTCAGTGGTCTGTCTTGATTTTTCATGATGCTTTTATGATGTTTCATGAGTTTTTTCTTTAGTGTTGTTCTGAGTAAAGAAAAATGGAAGCTAGCACAGATCTACTGATCATCTTAATATTACCAGTAGCCCTATCTTTTTCTCTCCTTCTGTGTCATCATTTTCAGCATACGGGATCAAATAACACAGAGAAGCAACATGAGTAACAAAGCATCTGATAGGAATCCTTGACCCTTTGTGTTTCTTACAGCATCACTGCCTTCTGCGTTTGAAGCAAGTTTTGGTTTGAAAGGAAAGCCTGGTCTCTCTTCCTCCCCTATGTCCATGATTACTCAGTTGTAGGTGCAACACACTTACCTTGTACTCAGTCTGAGCCTTACTGGACTCCCACACAAGAGTCTACTGAAGTTTTGTGCCTTGGAGCATCTCTAAGAACTGCAGACTGAAGAATCTGTGGCTCTTCTCTGCTCACATGTATGCTTCGTTGTCCCAGTGGACTTCACCTACAAAACACAACTTCAAAGATAAAATTATAAGGAATTTTAAGACAGTGACAGCTGAGTTAAACCAAGTTTTATGCCTCTAAGTGTCAGATTCTGTGCAATTGTATAGGTTGTAAACCATAAAGCCAGACCTGCCTAACACCACTGTCCTCATGCTTCCTAATTCTCTTTCCTCTTCTTTAATTTTCCCATCTACTCACCTTCACTTCCAACAGAGAGTCAGGGAGAATAAATAACAGGTTACTAGGGGCTGTTGAAGCAGAAGGAGCTGGAATGTAAGGCCTGTCCCAGGAGACAGATACCCTCCTATCTCATCCCCAGCTGCAAGGCCTGATTTCTTTCCCTGCTATCATGGAGCTCTAAAAGCTTCCTGGTCTGCATTAGGACACCCTGCTAATCTGTGTGAGGTTCCTTCTGAGTTGTACAATGGTACAGACTGTTATTTCTTACTCACTTATGTCTTGTTTTTCCTAAGTAATTCTCTATTTTTCAACATAAAAAATTCTCTGTCTCTTTGTTTCTGTCTCTGTATATATACTCTCATATATATATATATGCACACACACATAAGTTTCTGTATAAGAAATATTCACTGTCAAATAATTCAAAGTACAAAACAAAATAAAAAACATTTACAACATCACCATGCGCATTTAATGGCTGGATACATGTTGGTTTATATGCTTTGAGGCTTTTTTTGTTTACATGAACTGTGTTTTTATAACAATAAGCCCTTTCTACATGAACTATTTTGTAACTTACTTTGTTTCCTAACATTATATTGTGAATTTATTTCCAAGTCAATAAATACAAATCAAATACCTAATAAATATTTCATTTTATTGATATGCTATAAGTTACTTAAGCAGCCCCTCAGTTCAGTTCAGTTCAGTTCAGTCGCTCAGTCCTGTCTGACTCTTTGCAACGCCATGGACTGCAGCATGCCAGGCTTCCCCATCCATCACCAACTCCCGGAGCTTGCTCAAACTCATGTCCATTGAGTCAGTGATGCCATCCAACCATCTCATCCTCTGTCATCCCCTTCTCCTCCTGCCTTCAATCTTTTCCAGCATCAGGGTCTTTTCCAGTGAGTCAGTTCTTCGCATCAGGTGGCTAAAGTATTGGAGCTTCAGCTCCAGTATCAGTCCTTCCAATGAATATTCAGGACTGATTTCCTTTAGGATGGACTGGTTTGATCTCCTTGCAGTCCAAGGGACTCTCAAGAGTCTTCTCCAACACCACAGTTCGAAAGCATCAACCCTTCGGTGCTCAGCCTTCTTTATGATCCAGCTCTCACATCCATACATAACTATTGGAAAAACCATAGCTTTGACTAGATGGATCTTTGTTGGCAAAGTAGTGTCTGCTTTTTAATACACTATTTAGGTTTTTCATAGCTTTTCTTCCAAGGAGCAAGTATCTTTTAATTTCAGTCCCTTTTCATTTCAGTGTGTTTTAATTTTAAACCAGTCCCTACTGGTGGACAAACAGGTTGGTGACAACATTTGGCTATTATAAATAGTTATCCACAATACATGTGTGTCTTTTTTTGTATTATTATTATCACCATCATCTGTTTATTAACTTTGGTTAAAACCTAGAAGTGAAATTTCTGGGTGATGTATAACAGTTTATTGTCAAATCTTAACTTGTACAGCCATCTCTTACAAGCTACAGATGTTAATGAACACTAAGATGAGTAAGAATCCATGTGTTTGACCTGCCATCTTTTCCATAAGAGTTTTCCTACAGCAGTGATCTTCACATCTACTTGGCTTCACAGCCCCTCTAGTGAATGAACACTTGTTCTTATCCCTTAGAAAGTCCAATGGTTAGCTTCTGATTTCCCACTTATTGTGGAACAGCAATGTATCATTGAAAATCAATCAAAATCAATTAAAACCCTTACATACTGGAACAGCTGATTGAACCAAAACTTGAAGTTCTCGTTCAAATCTATATTCATTGTGTTTTTTTTTGTATAAAATACTTGCACTTTTTTTCAGATGTATTTCAATTTTTTTTGTGGAGTTCCAGACATACTTCTCTCAGGATTATGCACAGACAGCCTGGATCCATTCCATTGTAGACTGTGTGACCATGCTCTGTGGTAAGTATCTCCTGGAATAGACAATTACTGGCTCCCTTTGAACTGTACATAACAGTGACCTTCCACTGTCTTTGATGGCCTATTTTACTGAGTAGAAGGGCTATGGTAAAAAGTGGCTAAACCTATGTAAAGAGAAAAATATGATCTTGCCTTTAACCAAACTCAACCAGACATGCTGTTGGAATTAATGTTCTTGGTTGATGTCAGATGGACCAGGTGGTGAGTACAGTCAGTTGCATACTTACCATTTGGTTCTTCCGTATAAAGTTAGGGAGCCAGGCATCGTAGGACTTGTTCTGATTTTGGATGCAGGTAACTATACACTATACACTGTGTCTTCTTGTCCCCTTATTTTCCAGTCATGTAGACAGCCATAGAAGGCACTGTGAGTCATTTCAATGCAGTCTCCTTAAATAAGTGCTAATAATATGTGCATCATGCCTCAAGTTTGGTTTTCACTCTCATTGCTTCCCAGAGGGTTCAAAATTTGGCTCACTGATTCATTTTTCATGCATAAGTCTTCATTCTTAGACTTCTCTATTGTGGAAGAATAGAATGTTGCAATCATAAATAAGCATATTCACAATGGCTATAATATCCTTCCAGAACCACAAAGGTGCTATATATAATGTGTGGAGTGGTCTCAAGATTCATGGAGTCTCTCATTCCATCTGTACAGTAAAGAGAAACTAACCTTGAGATTTTTCTTTCTGAAAATTTCCAACCAATTTTACTGAATGAGTGTCATAGAAATTTTACGAGATTGGGTCAAATTGAAATGATCTATTTGCAGGCTTGACCAATTTAATCTTTGCATTTATTGACTCCTGAATATTTTTAAAAAACTGTTATCTCTTCAGGCCATATCTTGGTGGCAGAAGAAAATACTATATGGTTTAGTAACACATAAATAGCATCACTATTCCATTCTAGGTACTGATTCATAGTTGTACATTCAAAATGTACATAATCAGGAACTGGTTGATTTGTTCTGATGTAGTTCCTTGGTTGGAAGGAATTTGAGTGCAATTCTAGATTTCACAAGACCACTAAGTTGACGTTACTGATAATACTGGAAGGTCAGAGGGATTAAAAAATCATAACTCGGGCTTTCTAGCCTATCTTTTTAATTTAAAATGGTAAGATGATCACATGATTTTCAGGGTCAGATGAGCAGTCATTGTGTTTGTGTGGGCCCGTGCTCATGGCAGAGAGAACTGCCATGCTTATCTTTCATGGAGGATGCAGGTGACTCCTTTCTCCCACTGTTATCTTTTGGAGACTATTTATAATCCCCCAAAGAAGAATAAATGGCCTTCAGTGGCCACTGTGGTCACAATGACCATGTGAACCGTTGAGCTAAAGCAGGGTCACGTTAGATGCAGTGTATTTAAATTCTATTCAAGGCCTTGAGTCCTCTTGTACCCAGTTACTACATACCCGCTTGCTCATCTGGCGACATTAGTAGAGTTCAGAGTATGGACAAGAGGCTTCAGAATCACATCTGGGACATCCCTTGGGGCCATATCTGCACTATGATGGGCAGAGGAGTGAATATTTTTCATTGAGTTTCATATTCATCTTATTACTTTCTAACAACCATCACAGCATCAGCCTGGAGAATTAGATATATTTTTAGGAGATTTGCTCATTCCTATTATCCAGAGGTTATATATTCATCCAGTTACTATTCTAACCAGATAGGCTATTAGGCTGATGACTGATTCTATCATGTACATTTGAATCAAGCCCCAATTTCAACCTGATCTATATAAAAATTATACTCCTCAGATACCCAGAGAATTGGCTCTTCTGATCTTGTTACCACGAGTGCTGGTGTCAGCATGAATTGTTCTTGAGAAGGAAATTCACATGCTTTCTCCACCCATCTCCTCTGCCATCCATCTGAAAGACCCAAGAAGCCAGAATAATAGGGTGAAATAACACTGCACTCAGTGTCAGGTTCCCTGAACTGTATATTTTTTGGTGATCTTGGGTATGTCATATTCCCCTGAACTTTAGTTTCTTTTTGGCCTCTTCCAGCTTTAATTATTATCCTATAAACCTGGCAGTTGGCATAATTCTGACACATTGTTAAACCACAAATAGAATGAGGCTAACTGAAATGTCATCATCGCATTTCCTAGATTTTCTGGGCTTTCATTTCTCATCCACAGGGTTTCCAAACGCCCAGAAGCAGTGCCAGATTATGAAGTATGTCTATGATCTCTCTCCCTGGCCTTTTCTTGCATAAGAAACTGCTGGCCAGGCAATGTTGCCCACTTTCTTCTCCACCATTTACCTGTCATGATTATTGTTAATTGTGTATGAGCCATATTATGTGAAACATACAAGGCATATCACTGTGCAACTGTTGAGCTAAATCAGGGTCACATTAGATGCAGTGTATTTAAATTCTATCCAAGGCCTTCGTTTAAAGGAGCTGACTTGCTGTTTAGAAAACACCCCATTGTCCTGGGATTATGACCATTCTAGAATGGAGAAATGGAATGAGCAGTCAAATGCTAGTCAGGAGACCTGATCCTGATTCTAGCCTTGCCACTTGTTCTCTGTAGCACCATGGACAAGTCATTTCCTCTCGCCTCGGTTTCTAAATCCATAGAATGAGTGGGGTAGGCTCAAGGATTTGAAGATGGAGGGTTATCTGCTCCACTGATGCATAACCACAGCCTTTACACAGTGCCCTCAAGGCCTCTATGTTGAACCTATTTATTATTGTTTTTGAAGCTCCACTTGGGAGTGTTGTCAGTAACCATTTTTCCTGTCAAGTGGGAATCATGCTGGGTGGCTTGCTTGCATCTACTGGTCTCATCCTGGGCTCATTTGCCACCAGTCTGAAGCATCTCTACCTCACTCTGGGAGTTCTTACAGGTAAGGGCACTTTGTACCACCCTTCTCATCCCACCCTATCCAGGGGTTGTTAAGCCTGCCCACAGAGCAGTAATTCATAAAATATTCATATTGTTGGATGCATAATTTAGCTGAATGTCTGCCTACCAAACGGTTGAACAAAAGGACTAGAAATTTAATGGACTGTCATATGTAATGAAACTGTGTCACCACTTTAATTCAGTCACGTGACAATAGGGACTGCTGACTTTCCTTGGGCAGCCATGTATGGCTGAGATCCTTCACTCAGAAGCAGAGCAACATTAGCCAGGGCAACATAAATTTTTAGCAATGATCATTCTCCCAACATCTTTGCCAAGACATTGAAATACTCTCTGTGGTTGACCTGAGTTGTCCTTACTTTTTAGTGAGTATCGTTGTCCAATAAATAGAGGTTTACAGTTTAAAAAAAAAAAGCCTCTTGTGAATATTCTTACATCACACATTCTCTTTCAATGTTATGAAAACAGACGTTAGAGAATGAAGTCCATAGAAAGGGAAGCAACCGATGTGCATTCCATAAATCACACTTACAGGGACTGCAGGGGATCAGGGTTGGTCGGAGGGACTAGCATGATCTGGCCAATAAAAGATATAATCTCACAGTGAGGTTACAAATCTTGCTGTGTCAGCTAAAAAGGTGTCTGTCCCCTCTCACCCAAAGGGCCTGACCGCTAGGGTGTCCCATCCTCCCAGTTTACCAGAAACTGTCCTGGGCCTGGTGCTGAAAGCCTCATGTGTGGGAAACCCCTCAGTCCAGGCAAACTGGAATCATTGCTCACCCTGCTCCAAAGATGGAAATAGGAGTTGTAGGCAGTTCTCCTTTTCCTTCCTTGATGTTTAAATTCCAGGTTTAAAGCCTTTCTGATTTTCTTGACTTAAAAAGACTAGAGCTGGAAAATCTTGAAGAGACTTTCTACTGGGGATATTTTCAGGTTGCTATATGTACATGCTATGTTCATGGATAAAATGAGCACAATGTTTCTTAATATTTGAAATTACTCTGGAACTTTTACAGGATCACATATGCTATTTAAACACAAATTCCAAAGTGGTCCAGATAATCAGGGTTGTGTCTTCATGTTCAGTGAAGAGTTGAAGTAAGTCTCTAGGTAATTTAAGTGTTATTAATAATGTAAGTATTATCAATAATTTAACAATACTTAAATTACCCAGAGATCATTTAATTTACTACAATTAACTCTAATTTATTTAAAAAAGAATTGTTGTGGGGAGAATACATTTCTCAGGTCAGTGTTATCCTGATTTTCTAGTTGATTCAAATTTAACTTGTATAATAGTTTTTAAAGTCTTCATTTTATTTTGCTTAAGTCATAGTCCCTTAAAGCTTTTCTTCCCAAGAAGAAAGTCCTAGAGATGCTATACTTTCCAAATTGTGGATGTCTGGTGAGGGGAGACTCATTTTCAGCTTGATGTAGAAAGCAATTTTAAAGGGATTTACTTGAGGTTCAGATTCTCTTAAATCCAAATAGTATGATTCTGAGAGATGTTCTTTCAGTGGCTATTCATGGCATGCCATTAGCACTCATAGACTTCTCTTTATCGCCAGGTCTTGGATTTGCACTTTGTTACTCTCCAGCTATTGCCATGGTTGGCAAGTATTTCAGCAGACGGAAAGCCCTTGCTTATGGGATCTCCATGTCAGGAAGTGGCATTGGCATCTTCATCCTAGCTCCTGTGGTCCAGCTCCTTATTGAACAGTTTTCCTGGAGGGGAGCGTTACTCATCCTGGGGGGCTTCGTTTTGAACCTCTGTGTCTGCGGTGCCTTGATGCGGCCAATCACTCTTAAAGAGGACCAAACCACTCCAGAGCAGAACCCTGTCTGCAGAACTCAGACACAAGACTTGAAGCAGGCGTCTCCCTGTTCGGCTTGGACTAAAGAATGGGTGCAGACCTGCCTCTGTGGCTCTTTGCAGCAAGAATACAGTTTTTTACTGACATCAGACTTCGCTGTGCTGGCCACCTCTGTTCTGTTCATGGCTTATGGCTGCAGTCCCCTGTTTGTATACTTCGTGCCTTATGCATTGAGTGTTGGAGTGACTCACCAGCAAGCTGCTTTTCTTATGTCCATCCTTGGGGTGATTGACATTATTGGCAATATCACGTTTGGATGGCTAACTGACAGAAGGTAAAAATCTGTGAAACCACCACTGGTTCCCTACAAGGAACTTTAAGCTTTGAGTTTCCCTTCATCACCTTGGGTTTCCCTGATGGCTTAGCTGGTAAAGAATCCACCGGCAATGTGGGAGACCTGGGTTCAATTCCTGGGTTGGGAGGATCCCCTGGAGAAGGGAATGGCTAACCCACTCCAGTATTCTGGCCTGGAGAATTCTAGTCCATGGGGTTGCAGAGTCAGACATGACTTGAGTGACTTTCACTTCCCTTTCATCACCTTACCCTCTAGAATACCTAGGTCTAAATAATGTTAACAGGTTTTCAATATCTGAAGGCAACTCCCTTGTTGGTTCTTCTAGTCAAGGGTTGGCAAACTTTTTGTAAAGGGACAGACATTAAACAGATAAAGTCTCATTGACTTTGTGGGTCATATGATCCCAACCATCCAACTCTGCTGTTGAAGCACAAAAGCAGCCGTAGACAATATGACCAAAAGAAAGTGGCCATATTCCAATAACACTTTATTTAAGAACACTAAAATTTTAGTTTCTCATACAGTTTTTGCATGTCACAACATTTTATTGTTCTTTTGATTTTTTCCAATCATTTAAAAATGGGAAAACCATTCTAAGTTCATTCTGATCTAGATCATTTAGAATGATGGATATGTTTAAATGGCAGAAGCAAAGGATAGTTACAAGTTCTGGTGACAAATTTAATTCCATTCTAAGTCAGGTCAGTCCTCCAGTAAGACAACTTCCGACTGGTCACTGTGGTTTTAGTGTCTTTTGAACCACTCCAGAGATTGGCTGGCAACAGAGAGAGGAATAGACTCCAGTCTAGGCAGGAGGACCAGGTCAGTAATAACACACTATCTGTAGTGCCACATATTTACATTTGACAGTGCAAGTAGCAAATAATTTCATTATAATTTTAGACTTAGAAACCAGTGTTTTAAGAAATCTGAGTAATTTCTTCAGCAAATGCTAATCTGGATTGAAGAGAGCAAACTACTCATATTCTCCTAAATGATAGGATCTTCACACTTGAGCTATGACCTGGGAGAGCTATCATCACGTGGCTTCTTACCTGTGATGTCTTTGGGAGGTAATCAGGATTCAACTGCCATTCACCTGTATCAGGAATAAAATATTTAGGATTAAATATAAAAGCCACACTTTTAATGGCTAAGGAGTGTGGGGGAGAGCAAAGTGTATCTTTCTTTACAATCAAATAACCCAACAAGAAGCACCCTGACATAGATCTGAAAGGGGGATTTCTAGTCTAAGATATAAAAGACCCAAGTTCTTGTCCTGGCTCTGCCCCATATTATCCCTGAGACTTAGAGAAAGTCACCTAACTCTCAGATCCTCAGGGGTATTCATCTGTGAAATGGACCGTTCAATATTTGCCTAAGGACTTTATAGCATTGTGTGAGGCTCAAATGAGATTATAGGCAGAAAAGCATAAATTGCTTTTATTACATAATTTATAAAGCATAAATTGCTGATGCTGATATAATACAGAGTCTTTGTCATAATTACTATCATAGATGGGTTTGGATTTACATAGGGAAAATATTCATGGATGTACCACTGGGGAGATCTTGAAATAAGACTTAGTCCTAATACATGACCATCATAATCTCTGGCAAATCATTTTCATTTCTTCATGTCATGGCTTCCTCTTTGTATAACCCCTTGGGTTATTGAACATATATGAAGAGCTGGAGACTACTGGATGACATATCTGAAAGCATCTAATACGGTAGACTTGTAGCAAATATTAGTCTCCTGACACTCTATGTGTTATTTCACAAATTTCCTTGATTAACTCTGAGATAGGCAACCTCTCATTTTATAGCTAAAGGAATTGAGGGTAGAGTTAGGCAGTTAGTAGATGGGAGAACTGGATTCAAACGTCTATCTTTCTAATTTTAGTGCATGGGTTGTTTTCTACCATAATGCTTCCTGGGAAGATACATTCTTGCATTGCATATACCAAAAGAAAGACAGGAAGACAAGGTAGAAAGCACACAATGGGGAGGCCATCTCTATAAATAAAGTGCTTACTGCCACATGGCCAGGTTTCTAGAGCTCTTTGATAGAAGCTGTGAATCCTGCACTCATTCTTGGTCTTCAAATCCACAGGTGCCTGAAGAACTACCAGTACGTTTGCTACCTTTTTGCCATTGGACTGGATGGGCTCTGCTATCTCTGCCTCCCAATGCTTCAAAGCCTTCCCCTGCTCGTGCCTTTCGCCTGTACCTTTGGCTACTTCGATGGTGCCTACGTGACTTTGATCCCAGTGGTGACTGCAGAGATTGTGGGGACCACCTTTCTGTCATCAGCTCTCGGCGTGGTGTACTTCTTGCATGCAGTGCCGTACTTGGTGAGCCCACCCATCGCAGGTAAGTTTCCAGAGAAAACCCCCCACCCCAATCACCTCTTCTCTTTGTCATATTGATGTAAAAACAGTGAACTCACATAACATACTATGAGAAGTGGAAGTCAGTTGCGAAGAATGAAAGAGAAAGGAATAGCCGAGTCACCAAAATACCTTGGTCTCACCTACATCCTTGCTCTATAATCTTCTTCCAACTAATGGAGGACCTTAGTGTACTTGGGGAAAAAAATGTCCCAAATTAGGATCTTGATTCTGTTCCACACAAATGATGGGAGCAATGGAATGAAACAGCTGTTCAGACTTAAATATAAGTTGGCACATTCAGAGGGAAGGCTGGGAGGGCATACAGGATTCCAGTAGATGTAGAATTGATGAGGCACATGGTGAGCTGAAATATTAACGTACAGGTGTCATGGTGGAGTGTCTCCAGTGCTTGCTAAAGGAGCTGGGGCCCTATGTACTTAGGAGTATATGGGTCTCTAAAGTATTATAGCTTTTGTGCAAAGGAGTAATAAAGAATATGTTTTAGAGAGATGATCTAGTACTTTAGTGGAGAAGCAGTTAGAATTTCATTCTGATAATTCAGGAGCCGTCTGATATAGGGCTGAACTATGGCTTCTGCAGCAGAAATGAGATTGAACTCTGGGGTCAAAGGAGAAAATTTGGGGGGGAAATAAACTGATTTTAGCATGTGGGGATATGAAGGAGGGGAAAAAGTCCAATATATCAGGAGATGATGGCACACTTGAAAGAAATAAGGAAGCTAAAGAGAGTAGCTTTGCCATAAAATAATAAATATACTCAGATATCTGAAATACCCAATAAGGTATTTAAGGATGAAATCCGAGCATTAGAGGGAGGCCAGATTTGGATACACAGATTTGGGACTCAAGATAAAGCATCTAGAATGTTTTGTAAACTGTAAAATGATACAGACATTAAAAACATGATTAAATAAGTAATTCCACAAATATTCATTGAGTGCATTAAATAATTCAAGAAATATGTATTGCATGCCTTAAACAAGTAATTCAACAGATATTTATTGCTGTGTACATCAGCACTGTGTCTGGTGCTGTCAGTATAGCAGCAAACAGGTAAGAACCCATTCCTTCTTCTTGGGGTGTGTAGTCTAGACCAGTGTCTCTCAGAATGAGGTCTGAGATCACTGCAACAGAATCCCCCGGGGCCCTTGTTAGACTGCGGATTCCATGACCCTCCATCTGTGATTTGGATCTTTGGGGGTGAGTTCCAGGAACCTACATTCTCAAGCAGTTTTCTTGTGATGCTCTTGTACACTAAAGAATGAGAATGATTGGTCCAGATTATTACCTGCCTAGATTAAAACTGAGAGTGAAGAAGGTCTCTGAAGACAGGCAAAAGAGAAATGAAGTAAACATTTGCCTAGAAGGAAAGAAGGGGATATTTTGAAGAAGGCACGATTTCTGCTTTAGCGACCGTTGTGAATGGACAACAGTTCAAGTTATTTCCAAACCCAGCAATTGCTAAAGTGTCAAACCAGGGGAAATTGTGACTGCTTGGTGGCTACGGATAAAAATTCCTGGTCAGTTTAAACTCCATGATATAGGATGATATGTTTGGTGCTTCAGTTTTGGAAAATACCCCCATATGATCTCACATCCTCCCTCCATAGCCAGTTTTTATATTTACCAACCTTTAGGAACACTGTGATTCTGTTAAACAGTCATGGAACATAAATGAGGATTCCTGGATCCTTTTGTCAAATTGTGGCCTTCATTTGGCATCAGTTCAGTTCAGTTCAGTCGCTCAGTCATGTCCAACTCTTTGCGACCCCATGGACTGCAGCACGCCAGGTTTCCCTGTCCATCACCAACTCCTGGAGCCTACTCAAACTCATGTCCATTGCGTCGGTGATGCCATCCAACCATCTGGTCCTCTGTCGTCCCCCTCTCCTCCTGCCTTCAATCTTTCCCAGCATCAAGGTCTTTTCCAATGAGTCAGTGCATCAGGTGGCTAAAGTATTGGAGCTTCAGCTTCAGCATCAGTCCTTCCAATGAATATTTAGGACTGATTTCCTTTAGAATTGACTGATTGGATCTCCTTGCAGTCCAAGGGACTCACAAGAGTCTTCTCCAGCATTTGGCATATCAGACATTGTACTCATTGCTAGGTATTAGAGGATTAGTGTGTGAGTTCCTGTTGTAATACTTCTCTTACTTAATGACTTTTAAGATGACAGTTCTTTACTCAGTCTCTTGTTTGCTGCTAAAGAAATGCACAAGTAAATCACATAACTAAAATATTTGAGAGTAGTTTGGATTGTAGGCTTCCCTCATAGCTCAGTTGGTAAAGAATCCACCTTCAATGCAGGAGACCCCAGTTCAATTCCTGGGTCAGGAAGGTCCACTGGAGAAGGGATAGGCTACTCACTCCAGTATTCTTGGGCTTCCCTTGTGTCTCAGCTGGTAAAGAATCCACCTGCAATGTGGGAGACCTGGGTTCAGTCCCTGGGTTGGGAAGATCCCCTGGAGAAGGAAAGGTTACCCACTCCAGTATTTCGGCCTGGAGAATTCCATGGACTATATAGTCCGTGGGGTCACAAAGAGTCAGACATGACTGAGCAAACTTCACTTTCACTTTGGATTGTAGGAAACTTTATGGCACTTCTAATAATTTTTGCATGCTATTTTTGACTAATTATTGAAGTAGATGAGAGCAGAAGTCATATACTTCTGTGGTGGATTTTCTTGGCACATGAGTAAAGTAGGGGAACTTTAAAAACCTTTTAAATTACAAAATAATTTCCTGCCAATGTCTAATTTTACCCCATTGAGTCCCTGATTATTGGGACTTATATTTTGCATATCACATGCTCTGGTTCTCCTCAAAATTTAGAGCAGGAGTCGATATTGTGGTTAATTTGTTGCAACAACAGATAAATTTTAAAAAGCTGTGATTTCAGAATTATGCTTCCTGAAATTTGCATTTGAAACTTTAACATGGCCCAACGATCTGATTTTCAAACTGGATCGGGTAAAATGTCTGGATCTAATAGGAAATTTGGATTCTGCTTTATCTAGGAGCATGTCCTGTTACTCAAGTTAAATGTATATGGGTGCCGGGAACATTACTACTAGGGTTCTGTACAATTATATTCTCTTAACACTCTAGATAAAGAGATAATCCTAACCTCTGTAATTTGAATGATGTTTTCTATCTTTTCTACCATATTTCATAGAATTAATAATAACTAATATTCATTATGTATTAAGAATAATATCATTCTTTATATAGAATGTGGTACTTCCAAGCACTTTACATAATAACAACAATCTATTTTAGAAGTTTCTCTAGAAAACAGAATGCATTTTACAGTTGTTGCAAAATACTTTTAGATCTACTTTTTGTGTCAAAATGATAGTGATGGTGCTAGCAATCTATTATTATTATCCTCACAAATTATTAGATTTGAGTGAGTAAATAGTCAAATTTCTAACTCAACAGTATCATTTTGCTGTTGCTTGTTACAGGATGGCTTGTAGATACGACTGGCAGCTACACTACGGCATTCCTTCTCTGTGGATTCTCAATGATATTTAGTTCTTTGTTGCTTGGCTTTGCTAGAGTTGTAAAGAAGATGAAAAAAACCCAGCTGCGGTTCCTTGCCAAAGAATCAGATCCCAAGCTACAGCTATGGACCAATGGCTCGGTGGCTTATTCTGTAGCAAGAGAATTAGATCAGAAAGATGGGGAATCTGTGACTCTAGCAATGCTTGGTTCCAGCCCCTCATGACCAATGGCCTTGAGCCTAGGAATCTTCAGGACTGAGAGAGGTGGGACACTGGATTGTATATGTTTCTGAAGGACTTTATTTTGGCAGAAGCATTGCCTTCCAAGGAAATTTATTGCTTTATTAATATGTTTGTGGGGGGGGGGGTGGGAAATAGCTAATAACAAAGCAAACTGGACCGGCTTAGAGTTTCCCCATTTGGGATTTATATTCACAATTGAACTCAAAGAGCATCACACCATGGAGAATGTTAGGACACAACTGATATAATTTCCTGCAAACAGGGGTAATTTCAGCATATGACTAAAGCAGATAACACTGGAACAGCTTTGTTTCAAACTCTTTGTCCCTCCACCTTCCTTCTTCAGTTAGAAGGTAAGCTGGAAGCATTGACATGTAGGTTTCTTTATGCTGTTTGGAAAATAGGGCATTCCATTTTATTCCCTTTTGAAGAATCTAACTATTCTTTAAGCATTCAGTTTCACATCCTAATGAGAAGCTCCACTAGGAAGAAGGTTCAGCATCCTCACCTTCCACCACCACTGAAAGCTCATTTCCTCCGACCAGGTGCTCATATCTGTTGCTATCACATATGATACTTTAAAATGATAGAACACACAAAGTCACGTGGGTGATTCCTATATCTTACCAGAAATGTTAACACTAACATTTCCCTTTTTTCCCTTCAGAAATAAAGCACTTATTTTAACTGTAGACATTCCTGTTAGGAACAGGAAAATGTTGGCAACATTCCAGCTGGGCAGGAATTGAATTCTTGAATCAGCAGGTCTCTGATGAGAGTTTTCTTTTCAGATCAGACATTTAACTTCATCATTATCCAAAACAGGGTGAGAGTCTTGCCTGAAAAATATTATTCTAGAGATGTTCTGAAAGTGAGATTCCTTTCTCCCTGTGTCAGTTATTGTTCCAGTGTCCACAGCTCTTCATCTCTTTATAAATAATCATTGAAAACTTGGTGGACCTTTTCAGCTGAATGAGAAGGCTTTGGGAGTTAACCTCAGCACTATGGCCCTCTCACAAATTGTAGCTTTGGTCAGGAGAGAGGAAGCACAAAGTTAAAAAGGCTAGTGGTGTGTTGTTTCATAGTTCATAGAACTCTTTCACACACCTTAAGTCACTGGATTAGAATAGTTATCTCACTTCCAAGTTCCCTAGCTCCCTATGGTTTGGGTCTTCAGATTGAAGAGGGAGGGCATGGGGAGATAAGAGAGAGGTCAGACCCCCCCAGCCTGTCCCTAACCATTTTCAGTCCTCTGAACTATAATCCTGAATCCCAAATCATGCTGCACTTATAAATAGGGGCAAGTTATACATTTGAAAGGAGATTTTAACTAATTAAAAATTTTAAATCTGGGGACTTCCCTGGAGGTGCAGTGGTCAAGACTCCACACTTCCGATTCAGGGGCCTCAGGTTCGATCCCTGGTTGGGGAACTAAGATCCCACGTGCTGAGCACTGTGGCCAAAAAAAAAAAAAAAAAAATTTAATTCTGAACCTCAAGGAAATATTTTGACCCTGAAGGTCATTCAATCCACTGTCCCCAGAGAGGTCTTACAAATGCCTGGACACAGGTACTGAAAGAAAAAACACAGCCATGAAGGGGACCCAGGTTGACTGAGTATATTCAGCATGAGTCTTTGTCTGTAACTGGATTATTTTTAAAATTACATATTAATACAGTGCTTTCAGAATGAAATGCTGACTTGATTTGATGGCAGAAAGCTAGTATCTCATAGGTGTTTTCCAAAGAGAAATTTGAATGTTTCCTGTTATTTTTATACTTAGTTTGAAGATTTCCGTTGTGAAACCACTTTCTTTGTCATTTGCCACTTAAAAGAAATGTTTGGAAAATATCTGTAAACAGTCAAAGTTAAAACGAAGTTGTATGTGTTTGGAATAACGCTTTATACTAAATGTCATTTCTTAAATCTTCAAACCTAAAGATTGTTTGAAATATGAAGAGTTATAAATATTCTTATACATGTTTTTTCCTATGATGGTCACAGTAAAATTATGTTTATCTTGTTCTGCAATGTAATTTCTCTAAAGTATTATAAATTTTCATGAAAAATGAGCATAGAGATCAGAGCTTTAAAAAATTTGTATAAAATATTTGGGATATTCTGACTTTATACATGCATACATTTGCATTTTATTTTTCTTTTTGGAGCAGCATTTTTAGAAAACCAGTAAGGAAAATGTAGATTTTAGAGGTTACCATTGTCATCTATACAAAATTTTACTGTTATGTTCCATGTGCCTATACTGTTTATTTTAAAATGGAGGGATTCCTGAGAATGATGTGTTTGTTTTGTGGAATCAAGAACAAAATTGTGGTGGGATGATTTTACATCTTAAATATTTCTTTATATCACTGCAAGTTCTACTTTGAAATTGAATTTAAAAAAGCAAAAGAAATATGTAACTTCTATAGAAACACTGTACCCTTTGACTTTTTTTTTTTTTCAGATTGTGACTTCACTAATAGATCAGATATTTATGATAATATTTTCTTATTTCAAAAGCATAATAAAATGAGTTTGTAGTCATGTTTGGAAAACATTTTTCCCCTGCACGAGGGGTTTGAATTGGATTATGAATGGGTCTGTCTGGGGTCAAGCCAAGATGTCACTGGTGTATAAAGATGTGGTAAGTAATCAAATAATTTACAAAAGCCAAAACCATTTATTGAGTACTTCAATGTGTTAGCTGCTGTGTTAAGCACTTCCTGTACAATGTCTTACTTAGTCCCCATAATAATAATAATCCCTTAATTAATAATAATAATAATCCATAATAATCCCTATCTTTTCACCCTTTCAGGAACATGGAAACTGAGGCCTCAGGTCCCATGACTTCCGACTCAGTAGTCATTGCACCATTTGGAAATAAGCCCTTCCTTGGGCAGATAAAATCCTTTAGATTATGCTTCAGTCTTCCAGTGAGTACAGATGAGAAGACCCTGGACTGGAAAATTCCAAGAAATTCTTGGAAATTTCCAAGTCTTCCTAAGAGTCTGGTTCTATTAAGACCACTACTTCCAGTCTTAGTGGTTTAATTTGCTGTCGATTCAGACTCCTCTTTGGGAGCATTTGCGTGTGGGGGCACATGGAAAAGGTTGGGGAGCATGCTGTGCGTGACCAAAGTCATGCTTACTCAGGAAGTGCGTTCCTTCTGAAATTCCTACACCATTGCCCCGTGATGATGAAGATGATGATATCTATTGGCACTCACCTTCCTGGGCCCAATAGATCTAATTCAGAAACTGCTTACTGACATGAAATAGTGTGAATTCAAGATAGATATCCGAGTTTCTCATCTTATACTTCAAAGTTTTGAGTCTTTTTTAACCCTGCCAAACCATGCATTTTTATACCTGTTGCCATAGCAGCTCCCAGTACAAGATAACTGGGGTTTTGTCCCATTAGAACAGAGAAACATTTGGTGGGAGCAGTGAGGAAAATAATAAATAATGACATAAAGAGAAATGTTTAAAACATTTTACTAATAATGAAACTTTCCAAACATAGACAAAATCAGAAAGAAAAGTACAATATGCTTGAAGTACCCATTGTCCTAGCATCTACAGTTCTTTACTTCTTTGCCTCCACTCCTGATGAAGCCATTTGAGATAGTGTTGACAGGACATGTCTTCCTTCATTTGTCAAGGAATAACTAAATTTGGCAAGAACAATTTGTTCATGCTAGCCGAGGTTACGGGTAGTCAGTGTCATATATTAAAGGGCCACATCATTACCTACAGGCTGATGGGGACCCCTTTCTTGCTGTGGGTTTCCTTCAGATGTCTGAATTGCAGGCTAAACCTCTTCCTTTCCTAGCCCCCATGTGATCTATCTACCTGAAGCTTGCATGCCTATGTGCAAAGTTGCTTCAGTCATGTCTGACTCTTTGCGACACTATGGGCTGTAGCCCGCCAGGCTCCTCTGTCCATGGGATCCTCCAGGCAAGAATACTGGAGTGGGTGGCCATGCCCTCCTCCAGGGGATCTTCTTGACCCAGGGACTGAACCTGAATCTCTTACATCTCCTCAGTTCTTCGCATCAGGTGGCTTCCAAGGTGACACAGGGGTAAAGAGTCTGCCTGCCATTGCAGGACCGGAAGATTCCCTGGAGTAGGAAATGGCAACCCACTCCAGTATTCTTGCCTGGAGAATCCCATGGGCAGAGGAGCCTAGCGTTCTACAGTCCATGGGGTCCCAAAAGTGTTGGACATGACTGAGCACACAGGCACACAAATTACTTATCACACTGTCACCACCCGCACAACACGTTCTCATAGCACCCTGCTCTTTCTCACCAGAGAACATATTTTAATTATAATTCCATATTGATTTGTGTGTTTATTTTTAAATGTCATCTAACCACAAGCTTTCTGAGGCTAGAGATCATACTGACTGACTTGCCAGAGTCCAGTGCCTAATCCATAGTCACTCAATAAATACTTGGTGAATGAATGAGTGAAAACAACAAATGAACAAACAAAAAAGAACCAAGGAAACAGCCACTAAAGAGAATTATAATGCAGCAAGTGTGGGGCTAATGAAGGTCAGGTTTGCTTGAAGTTTCGCACTCAGAATGCATAGAATACGATGAAAGTGCAAGTGTTGTCGCTCAGTGGGGTCCTACTCTTTGCAACCCCATGGACTGTAGCCCACCAGGCTTCTCTGTCTATGGGGTTCTCCGGGCAAAAAATACTGGAGTGGGTTGCCATTCGCTTCTCCAGGGTATCTTCCTGACCCAGGGATCAGACCCAGATCTCCCACACTGCGGCTAAATTCTTTACTACCTGAGCCACCAGGGGAGCCCAAGGTAGGATACGTTGGATGTTCCCAATTCAGTGGGCCAAAATAGGGCCCCTGATGAGAAGTGTCCTGTATAAGAAGCAGGACCTCCAGGGTATTAGTATCATGGGGCAGGTTTGGGAAAGGGAATGAAAGTGGCAAAGAGAAGAGCTGGTAGAAAT